GAAAAGTGCAAAAGTGAAAGGCAGGCAAAAAAAAAAAAACCAAAAACCTACAGGTGGAACAAGTCAGATTGAGTAAGGAAAGGACAAGATAAGGATTAACTCTTGTTTAGGAATGTAGGTAAGCAGGATGTGTGGTCAGATAAGAAAAGGACATCTGGAAACTGTGTTGCAACATTACACAAGGAATGGGTCAGGATCGGATTACTTCTGTCAGAGACAATGGGTCTTCTCCCATGCAAAGGAGACCCCCACTGCTCATGGCAGGACTGTATGTTGATAGTCAGGAATGTAATGAATATGCATGCGAATTCCACTGATTGTGTATTCGTTTGGCCTACATCTGTACCAAGCTTCTTCCTTACGGTGTGCAAGTTTGGAGGAGCTATCCCCCTTGCACCCAGCTTGGCGCCAAATGCTGAATAAAACATACCTGCTTTATAACCTAACTCTGGGTAATAGAGTTTGATTCCGTGAGTCAAGATTATCCTGATAATTCATTCTCAGGGAAGAGAGAGGAACATTTTTTTTAAAAAAAAAAAAAGGAAAAAAGAGATTATAGGCGCATCAACTCAAAAATAAAGTAAGGTTTATGCTATGCATCTGAAGTGACAGGAAAGCTCAGTTTTGCAAAAATGAAAGTTGATTAGTCCAGGTAGGGAAGGGAGAAGACAGTGAAACAGAAGAAGAATCTCAATTTGACACCAGTCAAAGGACCTTCAGACAACATCAGCAGCAATGGAATGCTATAAGCAGCTCTGGGATTTACTTTTGCAGAAAGCAAGCTCTGGCAAATACCTCTTCTATTTCAAAAGATATTTAATATCTCCAGTGAAATTCACCTATGGCAAATTCTCCTCCGTAACAATCAAGTAAAATTACAGACTTGGCTGTGCCTAAACCAAGTCTTCGAGTACCCAGATAACAGCCTTCAGCTCTCACCTACTTACATAGGCATTACCATATAAAAAGAAATATATATATTTATATATGTGTATGTAAGGTCATTTCTGTTTTGTGTTATATTTACTAAAATCAATAAAGATTCTTGTAAAGGAACCACTTACGGTTTTAGATTCCTGATGATTAAATTGAAGAAGTTTGACTGCTGTTAAAACATCTTTGACTGACTTCTCTTTCAGTAAGCTACCACCCGGAAGGCAAAGTCACAGTTGATGTAATTACAGAGAAATCAGGAAATCAAAAGCACTAAAGTTGCTTTAATTAACAAGAAATTAACAAGATTATTCTCTGCTGCAGGTCTCATCTTTGGTTGTGCTCCTCCTAGCCCTTAGTCATCCATAGTCAAAAGGATATGGCCAGCCTGAGACTCGGTGTTTTGTTTTGTTTTGTTTTGTTTTTTAAATGCCAGCAGATCAAAACGGATGTTAACTGAGTTGGTCACGCACAAAGTAAGTGGCCTAAAAAGGTCACTGCTCATTAGTCTGTTTAGAATATAACAGCAAATGAACAACTGCTTTTGAAACTTAGCCAAGCAGAAAGAAGTAGCATTAAAATCAGTAACATTTTTATTTCATCAACAGCACCGGCAGCACTCATTACTGCTAATACAGGCCAAAGAAACAATAGCATGAGGAATTTCTAAAAATACAGTAAATACTAAATACAGAACAAAAATATACTGAGACTTCCATTTATGCCATTCTATGATTCTATTCTATGATTCACATCTCTATCTTTCTTACATTTCTGCTTTTCTGTATTAAATTACATACATGTTTGAGATGGTTTATTTCTGTAACAACTACAGGAATGAAAAATTATTTTACATTCACAGTAATGAGATGGGAAAACTTTGTCAATGCTTCTCATTTTGTAATAAGTACAACATACAGGTAACAAGGCTGTATTTTCATAACTACTCAACAAGGCTGTATTTTCATAACTACTAAATCACACTTAACTGTGCTGAAACTAGCTTACAAAGGTGGTATCAATTCATTATTTTCAGTAATTATGTGCCCAGATTTGGACTAACCCTAACCCTGTCCTTGCTGGTCACCCTTCTTCTGATGGAGCCCAGGATACCATTTGCTTTCCGAGCTGCAGGCACACACCGCTGGCTCACATTCAGTTTTTCATCCACCAGGACCCCCAGGTCCATCTCCGCTGGGTTACTCTCAAGGAGTTTTCCCAATCTGTGTACGTATCTGGGATTGCTATGTATGACCCAAGTGCAAAACATTGCATTTTGCTATGTTGGACCTGATTAGTTACACACTGGCCCACCTTTCCAATTTATCAAAGTCCCTCTGGATGGCATCCCTTCCTTCTGCTGTATCACCTGCACCACCCATCTTGGTGCCACCTGCAAGCCTGCTATAGATGCTAATGATGCAAACACCCTTGAGATACTGCCATGTGAAGTCCAGTATCATCAAAATGTAACCTTTCCCTGTGGCTGTGATCTAGAAAGTCCATTTCATGTCTTAACAAGGTTATTTCTAGAGGATTTTCCTTCATCCCCGAATTTTTTTTTATTTTAAAAAGTGTTATTAATTGTAAATTTATAACTATGATAAATACTTTTATTAAAATCACTACAGTTTTATTTAAAATATTTATCGTATTATTACAGCTCGCAGGACCTCCAGATCAGGGAGGATGGGATGAAGCCTTATGTTCTGAGGCCTTGGTCCTCATGGGCAGCACTAACCAAAGGACCCAAAGAGAAGGGAGGAGGGCATAGTATATTCTGTATATACACACCATGTATGGTATGAAAACTATAGTGTACTGCTCTGATTTAGGAGTTTTTAATAGTTACTTACCACAAACGCCTTCGATATACCATTCAAGAAACTGAAATAATGAAATCTATTCAGGACTGTCACCTATCATGTGTATTTCTTTATTTGTTTCTTTTTCAAAACAAATTTAACAGGAAATGCATGGTATGACTTCAGAAACAAAACACCTCACACTGCAGAATAGGCAGGCACTTCTTACAAGTCATAAACCATGGGAAAATACATAAGTTTAGTTACTTCAGCAGTTTATTCAAACAGTGATAAGAAATCAATGCTTTCAGGGAGTGAAAAATCGAAGTAAACTCAGAGCAGTGAAAATAAATGCCTGGAGCTCCCATTCAAAGAACATCAAAGAAATGAAAGCAATGAAGCAATTTCCATGCGGGAGGTATTGATGAAAGAATTAATGCATGCTTATTTTGCTTTCTCTGATATCACCAATTAAACATTAAGTTCATGTTTACACTTAAACACCTTCCCAATGTGCTATAAAGCAGCTGCATCATTTATTTGTGTGGAAGACAGAATACATTACTTCTTCTCACTCAGTATGTATATAACTTAATTGGATTGTTAATATACATGGAATAGTTATGTAAGAACATTACAGGAGGACAGTTCCATAATGTTGTTACTCATCTATCAATCTTAACAAATGAATGCATAAATAAAGAGTACCCCAATGAAATACATGTAATATTTTAGATACAGGTGAAGACAGCCATTGGATTAAAGTTCTCATTTTTACTCGGCATACAAATACTATTTCACAGTTTACAGCATAGCTTACAGCATACCTGGTGCCATTCAAGGCCAGGCTGGATGTGGCTCTTGGCAGCCTGGTCTGCTGGTTGGTGACCCTGCACATGGCAGGGGAGTTGAAACTAGATAATCATTGTGGTCCTTTTCAACACAGGCCATTCTATGAGTCTATGATTAATCTGAGAAAGCACCACTGGATGTTACCCTAATTTTACCCAAAGAATTAGTCCTGCATACATCTGGCGGTGTTTGCAGCAAAAATTTTTGCGTGCCTATAGTCCAAGACCAAACAGAGATCATGAATGACCGTCACAGATACACATCTCAAAACTTTTCCCGACAACATTCCTCAGAAGTTCTCCATCCACATTAACAATCCAAATGACAAGTCTTACACCTCCAAAGGGCTTTTTGACTGTGGGCACACTGGTCATGCAGACAGGAATGAACCTGCACCCAAAAGTACACAATGTTAAAACACTCCATTGCTCCAAGACCAGCACAACACAGCATCAAACTGTGACTGTGAATGGCTCCAAGTGCAGGGTTTGCTTATTTTGTTTTGCATACTAGCAGACACAGGAGAGTTATAATAAGCTTATTTCCCAGTCCAAACGTCTGCAGGTGCAGATTCAATTCCTGATAGTAAATGCAACGGGTCTGATGAGGAAACCCTAAAAAGTGAGCAAATAGCCACCAGCAATTCAAAGGGAACCATGATTCACCCATTGCTTACGGCAGGCAAACACAGTATCTGTTAAGCTGTAGCCTCAAGAATAAAACCACGTGAAGTGCACTGCACACGCTTCCTTTGCACCAGCAGTTTGCTATTGCTGACACCACCAATGAGTAGGATCATTTCTCACAATCTCAAGTAACAATATTAGATTTCATTCCTACATCTCATTTAAATCCTCCACAATAAGCCACTGCTAACACTGTCCCTTTGTCTGAAAAGGCATGGGCAATAAAAGGTTTCTAAGCCATAATACTTACAAACACCCAACTCCACAAAGAGAGTCAACTCATTTTATCCAGAATAAAAACTGTGCCGCAAAAAGACACCAACTGCACAGCACTGCCTGCTATCTCAGTAAAAGTTACGAAGCACGGCGACAAAACGCACAGCAGCAGCACCGCACAGCGCTAAAGCTCGTGGCTCAACGACCGAAGGACGGTGAGTTGACTCTCCTGTCACAGTTCCACGTAAGCAGGAGCTCTTATCACAAATACCAGCAACGCCAGGCCAGCTCAGGCGGAAGCAGGGCGCACAGCGGCACAGGCCCGAGGCTCAGCTTAGACGGCGGGGCACGGCGGGGCACGGCGGGGCACCGCAACGCAACGCAACGCAACGCAACGCAACGCAACGCAACGCAACGCAACGCAACGCAACGCAACGCAACGCCCCGTGCAGCTCTCCCTCCAACTTTGGAGTAGCGGCCAGCCTCCCCACTCACCCTCCCCACTCACCTGCAGCGGCTGCATTCCGGCCGCCTCTCGCTGCGCTCCACCGGCAGCTCCCACAGCCCCGCGCAGCCCTCGCGCTCCTCGCCCTCCTCCCCCGCGGACGGGCCGGCGGCGCCGCCACTCAGCCCCTCCATGCCCGCGCGGCGGGAAGTGGTACCACCTTTCCCCGCCAGGGGGCGCCACCGAGCAGAGAGAAACGCGAGCGGACCTCAGCCAATCAGGGCGCGGGGACGACGACGCTCCGCCTCATGGTCCTCCATCGGGGTGCGGCGCGATGCGGGCGGCAGGGGACGCTGTGGGTGCTCTGTTTTTCCCGATGCGGCGGCCGTCGGGCTATGGCGAGCTTGAGTCTCTCTCGTCCCATCTCTCCCTCCCTCCTTACACTTCCAGCCTGAATGGAAGCAGTGCTTTTAGAGCTGGGTTACAGAACAGGTCCTTGCTACCAGGGACAGTCACGATGGATGTGGAATCATTATCCATTTACCTTTAAGACAACTTTGTCACTAGGTGCACGAGCAGAGAATTTATTTAGGCTGATTCTTGGGAGCTAACACCATTGTAGTGGACAGGAAGAAAAGTGCTGATGAGTTTGCCCAAGGTCACCTTCCCTATCTCTGTATTGGAAAGAGTTCCTGTGCAATGCTCCTGCTAGGAGCTGGGTATGCCTTCACAGCTTCCCATGGGTGTCCACAGAAACAAGCCTTGTAAAATAATCTGGTAAAGCTTAAAAGCAAACTGTTGTAAACACTCCTGGCATAAAATAGATAGATGCATTAAAAGAACTGAGATAACAAGTATACAGATGGTCACTTCATTGACAAGGAAATGGATAAATGTAGCAGGGATTAGCTATGCGCTGAACAGAGCTGCAGCTTTTATCTGTACACATCCTTCTGAGCAGCAAAGTAAGCAGTTTAAGCCAAAGGAAAATGTTGATAGAAGATCAAAGTAGGATAAATTGCAGATGCCTAAGATGCAGGCTTGAAGCTAGAGGGTTCCTGTTATCAGCACATTACCGTTCTGCACTCCAAATAAAAGCAGAAGGGATTGAAACCCAGACCATGGCTTTCTGTGTGTGTGTGTGTGGAACAGAGTGTTTGCAGCATGCAAATTGTACTGGAACTTAACAGATAAGTGACTTCTGTAGTTACAGGCCAGCAATCTGCATTCTGACACCAAATTGTCATTAAAAAAAAAGAAAAGAAAAAAAAAAGAAAAAAAGAGCACAATTCTAGGAAAAAGTCTAAAGCTATGGAACTAGTTTAAGAGAAATGCCTCAATATTAAAGATTGAAGCTAAAAGGTTTTCACAACCTACTGATGATCAGTTTTGGTTTGGTTTGGTTTTGCAGGCTAATGTGGAAATGTGTGTTAACAGTACCAAAGTAATGCATACCTAACTTGACTATTTGCTGTGCATACTTAGATCTGAATTAACACCTCCCCCGTTGTACTGAAGGACTGAGAAACTCCAAGCTTCTTTTTGAAGCAATGTTTGCAGTTTGTGAATTCATCAACTTGCTGGAGAGCATGACTGGGAGCTTTATATCAGTATATAATACTCCTTGATGAACTGCTCCATGTCCTTTTTTGAGAGTGTGATCCCATTATGGAAAGTCCATTAAATTTTATGGAAAGTGCCATTCCTCTACATGTGCAGTAAGTTCACTTTTATTCTAGGATGAGGCTTTACTAACAACAATCTCTATTTCTTGCTGCTACCAGTGGAGTAGTACTCACTGGTCTTGTCCTGTGAGTCTTCCAGAGAATTTCAATCCAGTGTATATTTGTTTCTGAGAGTCATGAAGAAGCTGTCAAAACAGCAGTTTTCAAACAAGCATATTGAGGACTGGAGCACCTCTTCTGTGATGAAAGATTCAGGAATTTGGATTATTTAGTTTGGGGAAGAGAAGGCTACAGGGAGACCTCACTGCAGTCTTCCAGTGCTCAAAGGGAGCTTACAACTATAAGGGAGACTAACTTTTTACACAGGTAGATAGTGATAAGACATAGGGAAATGGATTTAAACTGAAAGACTAGGTTAGATGGAAGGAAGAAATTCTTCACTCAGAGGGTGGTGAGTGCTGGCACAGCTGCCCAGAGAAGCTGTGGATGACCCATCCCTAAAGGCATTCAAGGCCAGACTGCATGAGTTCCTGGGTAGTTTCATCTTGTGGGTGGCAGCTGAACCCATGGCAGAAGGGGTTGGAACTGCATGACCTCTGAGGTCCCTTCCAACCGTAGCTATTCTGTGATTCTACGGAATTCAAATGGCAAGAGTGCTTAGTTCCTCAGCAGCTTGAGCAGTTTAATTCATTGAATTTAAATGCTGCATTTCCACTCTGGCTCAACTCAGTTTCAAGTACCAACACAAGGCACGTGACATTCTTCTGCGTTTATGACCTGCTTTTGCAAAAGCTGCAGCCTCATACAAAATGTGCTTTCAGGGCAGCTAACAAATGTTGAATTCAGACTTCTTGTTATTCTTTCCTGCCCACCTCCATACTTAGCTATATATTCTTGAGATAGTTCCAAAGCCAGCAGCTGAGCAGGATGAACTTCTGAGCAGAATGAACTTCTGAGCAGGGTCACCAGCATGAGGTGTGGGATGCAGAAGCAGAAGCAGAGCTGGGAGCCTGGAAGCTCTGACAGTTGAAGCTGCTGTCTCAGCACACCAGCAGTGAGGCTGCAGAATCCAGCAGCACACGGCACTGTGAATCAGACTGAGGTGCTGCAGAACAGCACGTGGAAGAAAAACACTGGGAAAAAAACCTCATCCCGCAGTTAGAAAAATGAAACATTTTTATCTGTTCTCAGATATTTCACAAAAGAAAGCAGTTGCTGGTTGTATGGAAAAATAGCATTAACATTAACCTTCTCAGCTGGAAATATTTATGACAGAAGCCTACATGGACTCAGACTAGCCAGAATATTAGATAGGGAACTTTATGAATAATGTTGCTAAACACTGCTATGTCTGAAAACAAGTACAGGACAAGTTTGGGAGCATCTGAATTCAAAACCAGGAAAGTGAGTTCTGAAGGGGAGCTTGCTTTCTGTTTGACTTAAGCAAGTGCTGACGTGGTTTGCCAGTCCACTTGCATCTTGAGGCAGGTCTTTCTGATAAAAGAAAGGAGTTAGTGGAACAAGCTATCTGGCTAGCACAATACAATTGCAACCTCCCAACAGGGACTTTGTGATTATTGCTATCAGCGGTGCTGTATTTTCCACATGCATGGTGGTGCGGGGAGGCTTAAAAGCAAAGGCTGACAAGGTTTGTCACGAGGAGGCATTGTTATTGAGTTACAATGTGAAAGCTGTGAGTAAATCACCCTATCTTATTTGTCTGAGCAGCTAGGGACCATGCACATCAAGGAAGAGAAAATGTGAAAAATAAGTAAAAAGGATTTAGTCATCCAATATTGAAAAAATAAACAAACAAAAAAAAGATTGCATAGTAACATCAGTGTAACAGTGAGGTACAATGCAAGGTGTGTCTTGTAATCTGTTGAGTCTGTGGGCTTTAGACATTATCCATTCTAAATAAATTTGTTTATTACTTATGGTGAGTTATTGCTTTGCAACAACTGACAGCAAGTGAAAAATACAGAATTCCATGCAGGTATTTTAGTCAGCAATGAGTGCTTGAAGATGTCCTTTGCTAACTAGAGAAGCAACAGCTACAAAAGAAACACCCTGTTCCTTGCTTAACTTTCATCTGCATTTTTTTACTGTTGACTTAAGGGCTAAAATTTGCACAGCCATGTCCAAAATGCTCTGCAGCAGTGATTCTTCCTTTATTTTGTCTGATGAAAACTATTCCACCAAGCTGGCTGTTTTTAGCTCCCGTCTTCTGCATTTTTTGCCAAAATAGAGAGACTTTCCACAATATTGTTTGCCTCTGAGAATTGCAGGATTTGGCAGATAATAATATTCATCCATTCAGACTTTCCCTCCACAGCATGGAGATACCTCATAAGAAAAACTTGTTAAGAACTATTTCCACGTGAGGCAATAGTTGAAAGTAACGATTCCATTCTTGCTTTCTCACACTAGTCCTGCATGTGTACGTTAAGGTAAATAAAAGTAATGCCTCCTTTTTATTTCCATGCAAACTACAACAGATACTAAAAAGCTCAATAGCGTTATTTGACAGAACAAATTCTCAGCTACAAAACATTAGTTTTCAATACAGTCACCACCATTAGCTATGCATTTTCACCAGCAATGAACAAAAGCCTGCATGTTGCACTTGTGAAAATCTGCACCAGCTGTTTCACATTTTTGGTAGGAAAATGCTGCCTGTGCAGTCCATTTTCCATCCACTCAAACAGATGTAAGTCACAAGCTGTCAAATCTGGATTATACAGTGAGTGTGATAGGATAGTGCAGCCAAGATAGGCAGTGTACTCCAAGCTCTGCAAACTGGTATGGGGCCTGGCAGTATCATGTTGCAAGAGAAAGGTTGTCTTCTTCACTGGCCTGACTGGAAGTTTGAGCCGTCAGCTTAGTTAAGCAGCAGTCAGAGCTGATGGTTTTTTTTTGGCTCCAGGAAATCCTATCCCAAAAGAGAGTGCACATCATTTAACCTGCTGAGAACTGCATCTTGGACTTTTCCTTTGATGGAGAATTCACATGTTGCCACTCCCTGGACTATTGCTTTGGCTCAAGCTCATATTGGCTCACTGGTAATAGTGCAGTCCAGGAAACTGTCTCCTTCAGCCTCATATTGGTTTAGTAGGTCCTGGCAAACTTGCATACAATGTTCTTCTTGAAGTTCCTGCACATGTGTTTGTAGAACCCATCTGCTGTGAACTTTGTGATATTCCAAAATTGCTACCATCAGCTGTAACACACCACTCTCTGCCTCACTGTACCAACATCCACTGTTCAGTCTCCATGAACATTCAGAGATGTCAGTGAATGTCAGTGGGTACAATTTTCTCTGTCTGAAGGAATTCACCCCTTTGCTCCATACACACTTCTATGCCAGACACCATTCTGTCAGACTCCTCTCTGCTGCCATCTGTCACATGGCAATGGCATGGAATGGAATATTGCCGGAAGGTTCAACCTCTATTGCCATACTGCCAACATCTGCCTCTGCCATCATGAGCTAACATACTAACATAGGAAGCATTAATTTCAGGAGGCATAAATTTCAATTTGTAGCTTTGC